GGTTACAATAGGGTCCTTGCACTGGTGTGCTCGGACCCTAATTAAAGCCGCTGTGTCCTAAAACTACGATGCTACCTCAGAGACATCACAAGAGCAGTCTAAAACCTGTAAAAGCAAATAAACACAACTGATCTACAACTATTAAATAATACGTTTAATTTGTGTAGCATCTGCAGGATGCAGAGCAGGTAAGATCAGTCGGATCAGTCTGTTTGTTTACAGCTAAGTTGGTTTCGTGTAAGTCGTGGTAGAAAAGGTCCTGACCATGTCGATGACGAGCTTGCGAAGGCTCTGGCGCTGGCGCTTGGTGAGGTTCTGGAAGATGTCACAGTTTTCCTGGTGCAGAAGCTTGAAGCCCACAGCGAGGTGGTGGTTCTCCAACACTGACTCATCGTTATACATGAGGGCCAACTCGGAGTCTGGGCACAGAGGACAGGGTGTGAACACAGCTTGTGCAAATATCAAGGCATGTGTTTCCAAATGTGTGTGTGTTTGTGTGTGCGCTCACTGGTGTTGATGAGGAACTGATTAGAGACTCCGGGGTGGTCCACATCGTGGATAGCTGCAGCGAAGAGAGCGGCGAGGATCTCCAGGTCGGTGAAGACGGCCTGAGAGTTTAAGAAGAGCAGGAGAACACAGAAAACAAGTCAGTGATCTCCAAAAATCATTTTAATCTGAAAAAATCTGGTCAAAGCAAATCTTAAACACAGAAGTTGCAGTATAATCACTCTGTAGTTTGACCAGGTTGTTACTTAATTTAAAGACTTTAATGCATATTCAGGAACTCATTTCTGTTTTCTCCCCCTTTTTTCTTTCACTTTTTATTACTGCAAGCCTCTCTGTTCTGTCTTTGTCAGGACTGTTATGTGGTCTGTCTTTTTTTCAGTGTGAAACACAAATTTTGCATCCACGGTGACATTAAGCCCATCTGCTCACTGGTTTGGATAAAATCTGTGAAAATAACGAGCCTCAAATAGCACTTAATACGAGGTGATAATGGTGTGCAGTCTGGCCGACACACAAGCGTGAACTAAAATATACATGTTTGTGAATGTTTTTATTTAAATCACACTCAGGATGCTGCTGCTGATGCTTAGAGGATGAGATGTCAGTGACCCTGTTTACACTTGACTTTAAAACACGCTGCGTTGGTACGACCAGCCGAGTCACAACATCGCTCACGCTCGTGTCTGTCGTGTGTCTCAAAGCTGTCCAGATGACCACTTGTGTTGAGATTTTGTTTCTTCACACGTTACTTTTGCTAGAAGGTCAAATAACCCCACGCATATTTATTATTGTCAACACTAGACAAGAGCTGGATTTGTTTTTTATGGGTTAACTAAGAAAACAAAAATGTTTCAAGGACTAATACACATATATTTACTATTCCAACTGTTGAGATTGGCAGAACTAAGGCATTTGTGCAGGACGTTGACCACCATGTCCTGCATTGATGATATAGTTCCCTGTTAGGACCTTGTGAGGTTACACTACAAAAGATTTGTGGTAAAATGTGTACCAGAGCACCTCGGCAAGTGGTTTGAATGACTGGATCACGATGTGTCTTGGTGGTCGTTTGGAACTGCATTTAGTTCTGTCCAGTTGTGATCCAGTGGTCCAAGACATATTATATAAAACCAAGCGTAAGCTCTGCTGTCACTACTGGACATAAATCAAAGCAACATAGAGTAAAAGGCAGGTTTATACAATCATCTTATAACACAGATTGGTACTGGGTCACACAGGAATCACCTTGACCTCAGGCAAAGGAGCTTTGTTCATTTACAACAATGAGTTGTTATATGTTATTAGTAGGACATGTTCTCATGTTCTGCACCTGGAAAGTCCTGAACGCAGCCACGTGTGTGCAAATTTAACAAAATATTTTAAAGGTGGGGCTGCAAGGTGGCGCAGTGGTTAGCACTGTTGCCTCGCAGCAAGAAGGTCGTCGGTTCGGGTGAGGACACCCAGGATCTTTCTGCGTGGAGTCTCCATGTTCTCCCCGTGCAGCGTGGGTTCTCTCCGGGTTCTCCGGCTTCCTCCCACAGTCCAAAAACATGTTGAGGTTAATTGGTGATTCTAAATTGTCCGTAGGTGTGAATGTGAGTGTGCTTGGTTGTCTGTCTCTAAGTGTAGCCCTGTGATAGACTGGTGATCTGTCCAGGGTGTCCCCTGCCTTCACCCTGAGTCAGCTGGGATAGACTCCAGCCCCCCGTGACCCTAGTGAGGATGAAGCGGTGTAGAGATAATGGATGGATGTTTAAGGTTCAAGATTTTTAGATCAAAATGTAGCCTTTGAAGAGAACGCTTTAAAATGAGAATTCAATGACTTATTTTAGGGCAAAAAGTGTTCGACTCTTTTTTGACTTTCAGTTCATCCATCAAATCATCAAATGTTTGTTGCCGATGAATTTTTGTGAATCAACTCATGGATTGATTGACAATCAAATCTTTGTTCACCATGTTATATGTAAGTGCTGACAAAAACAAAGCATTACTGACAATACTGTTATTGTAAATGTAATTCTTGCACATTCTTAGTGATCAAACAGTGATCAAACTGAATGTGGATTTAAAAATAAAATCTTCAACTTAACTATAAAAACTTTGGCTATCTGACATCTTGGGCTACAAGTCTGAAGAAACAGGACACACTCCAATATTTTTGTGTTGAAAAATGAATAGAATTTCTAGTAATTCTGTCATTATATCCACACACATATTCACATAGGAATAGTTATGCTTAAAAAAATGATCTCAGTTACTTGCTTGTATTTTACAGGATGGAATTTGAACTATTTTGATGTGAGGCAGCTGCAAAACAGTGATTCAGGCTTAAATTAAAGTCCCCAAATGCTTGAGTTGTGATGAGGATTTCTTTTGTTTTTGTCCTGTCTCTTGACCACAAACACTAGATTGTGTGTGCGTGTGCGTTGACCTACATCGAGAGCAGGTGTGGAGAGGAGGACATGTGTGGACTGGGTGACATCTGCAGCATGGAGGCTGTTGTGGTACGCTACGTTTCCATGGTAATGGTCCTCCAGGGTCATCACATAAGTGACAAAGGTGTCGACTGGGATACGAAATGTCTTCAACAGCTCTCGCTCCTGAGGACGGAGGAGAGAGCGTCACAAATGGGAGTGCTTCACGTGCACGAGAAAATCCACGACGACACTCCAGGTGACAGCGATCTCACACGGTGGGTCTCTGCTCACCTGGAAGATGGCGTACATGACGCAGCTGAGAGGTCTGTTGTTGGAGAACTCTGCTACTCTGAATATGTTAAAACTCCACTTGTCCAGATCCTCCAGCTCCTGGTTGAACACCACACACACAGAAAAACATCACGTGAACTCGTATGTCGGAAATCACAAAACATTTTAAAAACTGCAACGATTCGAAAAAGCCCCAGTGAAAGCTAGCAGAGGTTTCGTTAAATTCAGGTGTCAAGACGCTCATCGGGTGTCGAGAGACAACGTGAATGTGTAACAAAAGTTATCACAGGGCTAAACAATAAAACAAATTTGTTGAATTGAATAAATCTCTTGCAAAACCTGATTCATAATTAAACTGTCCAAATCACACATCGAGCTAAAAATCATTAACCTTAAAATTAGAAAATCAATCAATCAGCTCCTGGTCTAGTGCAGAGGTCCAAAATCTTGACCTGGTGATTAAATAGGACAAACTTCAGAGGGTACAGTGCCAATTGATTTCCATGTGGATTTAAAACTGCTCTGATCAGTAATACAGTAAACCATGTAATGTCTCATGCTTGCTCGAAGGGAATCCCAAGGAAACTCTGGATGTTTGGGGGTTTCTCTGTATAGTTTTGTACAGTCTTCACCTTACAGCATGAATTGGCCTGAGATGGCATACGCAATGAACTGATGTTATCATGTAGGGGTGGGCGATATGGCAAAAATATCATATCACGATTTTTTTATTATAAAATCACGATTTTGATTTTATTGCGATCTTTCATGTATTTTTGAGACTAAGTGCGGCTGGACCACAGATCACTCATTGCGAAAAATTGGACGTCCTGAACTCTGTGATCAATCTTTTCTCAGACGTGGAACGGCAGTGTTGGGGAAGTATTTTCGGCTGGGCAGCTCGTACCGTGGGTCAACTACTTCGAGCAGACATTTGAACCCCTACTGTCTTCTACTGTCTTGAATGGAGATCAACTCCTCCGTTTGGCTTCAAACAGCCATGCGGCTACCGCTACACATACAAACAAGGAGGCAGGTAAGAAATTGCGTCACTGCCCGTAATTCGCTATGATTGGTCGGTCAGGTTGATGACGTAATACGTCTGGTGCATTGGTGCATCAGCAGAGAACTACAATTTACAGAATGTGACCTAAACGATCCATACGATCTCCTCACGTTGGCAGATCGTCTACACGTTCAAATCGTTCACGATTTAATATCACCTTATCCCACACCCCTACTGTTATGTAAAAAAGAATTGAACTGAGCTGAATGGAAAGCGGTCACGTATCTGAATGAACCCACAGAGAAATGATCATCCAGCCTGACAGCTCTGGTCAACTTTATACTGCATATTATTTTTGTTAAATCTTAGTCTTTCAGCTGTTTTGAGTGAAAAGCACTTAAAACTGACAGCATTCTACCTGTAACAACATGCAAACAGACAAAATCAGCATCTCGTTGCTGAGCACAGTGAAGAGTTTTGCAGTTAGAAAGACAGATTTCTCCCTCAGGATGTTCTGGAAAACAAAGGGAGTGGATACTGGACTGACTTTCAGGCCAGAGACGTGACAGCAAATGAATGTTAGTGTTCCTCCTCTTAAACAGGCAAATACCTGCTGGCACAGCTTCATAAGGTGAAAGTATTTCAGTGTTTACAGTTTGTAGCACTTCTCCCAAAAGCGGTAAAAAGAATCAACTGCTGTCTGGCCTGAGTGTTAGCAAACTTCCAGTACATCCAGCGTCCGTGCACGGTCGAGGTCTGGTGCCTTTTGAACAATGATCACACAGCAGACATCCCTTTCATGTCACTCAAAATAACCCCCGATTGTTCAGTCTCCGTGGCACAGATGCACCAAGAACATCTGCGGTGTCTCTGACTGACTGGTCCAGTTCTTAACTACAGCGACAAACCATCAACATTTGTATCTAGAATACTTTGATTCATGTTCTGCTGCATGAAGGTGTAAAACACAGACACAGTCTCCTTCCTTCTGGGCGCTTTCCAAACATTTGGAGCTACAGGCTGGATAAGAATTAAACATTGAGGCGCCGAGCATTAAGAAGCAGACAAAAGGAACAGTAAAAGATTCCATGAGATGTCCCTGTTGTATGTGAGCAGACATAAACCTAATAAATATTTGAACAGTGTTTAAATGCATCAAGTCAGCAACTGCAGTGTCCTTCTACAGCACCAGGACAAACTCCCTTGGTTGCTTAAAATATGAAATAACCTAGTAAATAATTACGGTTTCATCAAGAGCGCACATGTTTTTTTCTGTATTGCTAAAAGGGACCAATAAGCCAAGATGTAAATAAAACAACGCTCGAGTTCTGAAATGCATCCTATTTTCAGACATGAAACATGTGTTGAAGCTGGATTGATTTGTGTAACTTGTTTTATACCCAAACAGAAAACAGCACCTTGGCAAGCTCATCCTCGTGGTCCGTGTTGACGCCGAAGCGAGGCATTGAGGTGCTGGAGAGGCTGGAGCTGTGAGACAGTTTCCTCACTCCACTGATGTGACTCATAGGCTTGTCTTTCAGAGTAGGAGACGGGATTTCCACCTCGTTCTGCTTGTCTGCAGATTGACGGGCAAACACACATACATGGATTTATTGTTTTGTTTTGTTTTTTTTTTTCTTTTCTTTTGGCTAGGGTCATAGATGTGACGTGGACGGAACTCCAATTGTGGTCCCACTCACCCAGGAAGGTGCTGGAGATGTACTCAGACACCTGGTTCCCAGAGCGACTCATCTCTGACAGGTGGGACAGCTCTCGGTTCAGCATCCTCTTGAACTGTGGCAGAATGAGAACGCAACCGGGTTACAGCATGAGTCAGTCCTTCGCTCAGTTCATGTGGGGAGATATTCAAAGCAGAATTAGATAAGTCAGGGCGTTTAAAGTCGCAGTACTACTACTGTTCAAGGATTTTAAAAAAACAACTTCTAACAGCAATATCTGCTTTCTTGTTTGTTACTTTTACATTTCGGTTTACGGTGTGGTTCAGCGTACCCGTCCATAGTAACAGTCAGTAGATATTTGATTCGAGCATTTAAAAATCTATCCAGATCTCCAATGAATCCTCTAAAACAGCACATAAGGCATGTTATCTTAAAAAAAGAAGCGTAAATTACATCATTTATCAGTCAGAAGCTGTAAAAACAAACAAGCAAATAAGAAGTGTTCAACTGCTCATCTGTGACATGCCATGTTGCTGAGAAACTCAACCAAATCGAAGCTTGAAATTGTGATATTTCATCAAAAATACTTTATTCTCATTTAAAAATGCACCAAAATAACCTGTATGCACTAACCACATGTTGTAAAACTACGTATTTTGCACTCCGCAGCACAACTGTGAAGCCACTCGTGACTCAGCTGTGACAACTTGGGGAGTTTTAAGCTGAACTGCAGGCAGTGTTTACACAGATCAGCTGGAGAAGTGTGAAAACAAAAAAATATCTGTCGTATATAGAGTCATCTCTTTTTTGTGATGTTGGCAACATCTTTGGGAACTTGTTGATTCCAGTTGTCTTTCAGTTTTTTTGAAACAATCAACAAAATGCACCTTTCACTCTTTCGTTTTTAGGATTTATGGAGTTTTAACTGTGTCTAACGGCGCAGAAGACATTCTTCTACTTTTGTCAATGGTTGTGCTGTTTCCACAGAGGTGCAGGACTTTAGATTGTAGTTAAAAAGTGAGCCCACAGTGAGCAAAAATGTAACAGTTGCAAAGAATGCCCAGAAACTGCTTAGAGTTCAGAAGAATAATACATAATAATTTACAGTTAAATAATGAAATTTACAATTAAAATAACAGTAAATATCAAATGACATGGCAACAATAACTTCAGCATTTTTTTTAAAGTAAGAAAAATCAGTGTCAAATACATGAAACTACAGCTTACATATAAATGATAAACTGTCATTTCTATTTTAACCTTTTAAGGCCTGAGCTCTTGTTTGAAATGCATTTTTTTATTTCTAGCAAAGAGAATAAAAAAATATTTTAAAAAATAAATATATATTTTGAAAAATAAATACAAAAATATTTTTTAATAAATGAAAATATTAAAAAAGAAAAAAGAAAAAAATAACAATGATAAAATAATAATAATAAAATAATAAGAAAAATAACAAAAATTAACTACTGTCGTAATATAATCCAAAATGTGTTTTTTTTTCACGCATGTGGACGCCAGGTCTTAAGAGGTTCAATTTAGACTCCATGCCAACAGAGATGTATCTTGCTGATATCTTGGTTTGACTTGTTGATCGACTGTTTTCATACCTTGTTGGAGGCCATTTCGCTGACGGAGCGGTGTGTCTGAATGGTCTCCAGCTGGTCCAAGCACCAGTCCAGCTCCTCCAGTGTGTCCAGGGCGAGCTGCTGGTACTGCTGGTCTGATAGTGTCGCCCTGGGACTGACGCACACTCCACCCAGAGGAGACCTCCTAAAGACACAACAGCTACTTAGAACAGCAAGAAACAGCAGATTGGACTTGGTAGGCAACATATTATTGGTAATTCTTTAGTTGGAAGCCCAAGAACAAACCGAAGAAATCTTCAGTTCACAAATGTAGAATTTATTTAGGTCACAGGTGAAGTGAGGCAGCGCTGGGCTCGGAGTGACAGAGCCCTCGTGAGAGATCTATCAGAAGGAGCCCCGATATTCAAAAATGATTTATCTTCTTGGACTGGGCCTGCCCTGAACAGAGGTTGGACCTGTACGCAACCGAGGTTAACTGGCCAGTTACTGTGACGTGAACAGGCTAACCACTGTTCATGTGGAAGTTCACTGAAATGTGAACAGAAACTGCTTGGATTGAATACAAAGTGTGTGTGTGTGTGTGTGTTGTCCAAAAGGCATGTATCTAAAGTAGCTGATAGAATAGAGGAGTTTCCGCTGTCTCCCAGTTCTCAGCGGCCATGTTATCTTCAAGGACGTGCATTGTGCTCAGTAGAAAAGTACAAAACACGATCATAGGTTCAGTGGACAAATACAGATTCAGAATATATGATAGTTCAAAACAAAGCTAATTATAACATTACGATCAACCTAATTGTCTTTTTGAACATCTACACCTTATTTTTAGTGTTGTTTAATGTAAATGTGTTTTTTCATGTAAATCTGGGTGTTAAGAAACTTAATTTTGTGTTAAAATAAACTATAATTTTATGTTTAAGGGAAACATCACGAGAAAACATAAAGAGTGTCTCTGTTTTGTTTGTTTTTTAAAATTATCAACCGCTAATTATTTGCTTCTTTTTTAAAAATCTGTTTCATCCAATGAGATGCTCTACGAAGCTCCAAATGAGAAACAAATAACGTGCAGCAGTAGTATAGTATAGAGCCGGCAATATTTGAGTTTGATGGTGCTAAAAATGTGAGGAAAGCAGCTCACAAGTATTGTCTACTCCACCAGACTGAATGAGTAATTGAATTATATAACTGTAGTCACAAAATGTGTGCCTGAGTTTACACAAGCTGCACGCTTATAATGAGAAGTTGCGGTGCTTTAGCATCCCATGCACTCCAGCAAAACACAGATTGTTGTTTGTTTCATTTATTAGGTGAGAACTATGAGTGTGCATGAGTGGGACTTTTGAGAAGAATTTAGGTGGCACTGACTTGACTGTTGGCGTGGAGACGTTGGCAAGGATGGTGAAGTTGCTCCGTACTGATCGCAGACTTGCCAGCACCTAAGTCACCACACAGTATCGAAGGATAACAGTAAGAACACAGAAGAACCTCATGCAAATGTACACCGTCGCCCATAAAGTTGGAATAGCTTTTGTTATCAGACATATTGATCTTTTTGTTTCTATTTCTACACATCAGTGATCACTTTTGACCAGGTGCAATGATGACATACTGAGTCCCAGTCACCATGTGAAACCAATTCTGACTTTGGGATCTGACTGAAGAGTGGGACGTCCTGCCCGTTGACACCATCAACAAGCTGGTGGACAGTATGCCACCATGTCTTAACACATTGATCTGTGTCAGGGGTGGTCAGACTCATTATTAGTGACATTTGAAAGAGTAATACTGGAAATTCGAATGCATGAAATCACCTCCAATATATGTTTCCTGTTATCTGACCATGGTTAAAAAATTGACACAAAACCCTTCATCCTATTGTTCAGTACCTCCAGTTTTGTTTAAACCTGAATACACAGTTTGCAAAAGTTAACTGTGGTTTAAGTTTTACTGTGAGATGTATTGTATGTACAGTCGTGACTCGATAATCCGATACTAAATGTAAAACCTTCTTTTATGTCGGATAGCAAGGCTGTCGGATTGTCAAGACGGAGGTCGAGATACAAGGAGGGCTTGATGCTGGAAGGCTCATTTGTTGCTAATATTCATTGTTAATAGTTGTTCTAATAACCTGTAGGGCTGGTCCCAATAGCACGTTCTGGTCTCTGGATATTCAGACCCAATTAATGATGAATATCTGAACATTTGGCGCGGTTGAGGGGTACCTGTCGGAGCACTCTGATAGGGTGAAAGTGGTCGAAACGCACAGGCAGTACTTGGCTGCTGATGAGAGTTTAGGATAACGGTCCCAGTTTTGTTTCCACCTTTGGTGGCGGCAGGGGAGTGGCAGTTACGCTCCACCGTTACCATCCGTGTTTACTTCCGTAAACACTGAGCATGCTCGCTGTGTGTGACGTCATTGTGTCCTCTTCTGCACATGCGGGACACTTTTGGGTAGTATGAAGTTCACACAGCAGATCACATACAAGTCGCATTTAATTGGCAATGTGAACAAACTCACAAAAAAATCAGATTTCACAAAAAAATCCAAATTGAGCATTAAGTCCGCAGCGTGAACGTAGCCAATCTGTTGGATTGTTCAGTCAGATAATACGCCGTTATCCTGATTTGTGACATAAAATGTCATGTCGGAGTCGGAATCCAAGGCTGTCGGTATGTTAAGGCTATTTTTCATGGGTTCTGTTCGTTTTTCCTAAAAACCTGTCGGATAGCAAGGTGTTCGGATTGTTAAGGGTCGGATTATCGAGTCACGACTGTATATTGTGATATCAATAAAGTTTTCAGAAGATATACACTTTATCTATCAAGAATAAATCACATTGTCGCAATCATTCCATGAGAAGACGTTAAAAAAATATTTTATTCCAACTCTATGGGCAACCGTGTATATGTATCCTGATGAGAGGGAAATGCCTCATGGAGTTTTTCCCTATTTTAAATAACAGAAGAATACAAATTTACTTTGCCTATAAGTCTTAGAATTCTAAAAACAGCAGGTAGACTGTGAAAGGGCCATTTGTTAATGTAATTGAGTCTATAAAGTCAGACTTACTTGAGCAAAGGGTGTGACAATAAAGTCCTCTGCTGTGTGCCTACAAGCAGGAGACAGTTGGAAAAGAGACAGAGAGCAGAATCAATGGAAAGACTTCCCAAAAAACTGTAAACATATGGTTACACTCATAAATAACATCTCTCTTCCAGAGGCTCACCCTTCACTGGCGAGGGAAGAGTTGCGTGAGACCGTCTTGGGCGACATGTCGTAGTCCGAGTCGGAGCGGTAGAGGAAGGACTCTCTTCTCTGGCCCTGGGGGAAGGAGGTGTGCAAGGTGAGGCTTGGACTTTGGGAACCCAGAGGGGTGTGACCTGGGGACACGCCATTCTCTGCTTCGTAACTGCAACAAAATAATAATAACAGTCAGAGAAGACAGGAAAAGAAGACGCACTGTAAAGCTTTCTGCAAGGTGAAATCAGTCGCAAACCTGTCGGTGTCTGCTTGTGTGATGGAGATGCGTGGTGGGATACGGAGGGGAAGAGTTGTTGGACGCGACACGTTGCTCAGGACCTCTGGTGATCGGGTGCGATCTCGAGGGCGGAGCCAGCAGGGGACCTGGTGAGGTAAGAGGTGGGGTTTGTAGGTGCAAAGTAAAGGACGGCAGTCGATTTACAGGCAACTACCCCAGAAAATCTTAATAGAATTCTTCAGGGACATTCACTGTGACTTTAGCACTTGTGTAGTCAGATCTAGTACTAATAACCTCACACTGTTAAGAACTACACTATTATGACCACATTTCAGGTCAACAAATGTAAATAATGTATACCTGACCAGTTTCAAAAACATACCCACAGAGCTGATTGAACAATTTGTTGAATACACATCGCCTTTTAAAATAAAATAAATGCCCTTGCCTTTTTGCTAGTTTGTTTTCTGCAGATATATGAGAAGAAGTACGAGCTTTAAACAACACACTAACATAATAGCACCTTATAAAGTTGAGTAAAGTGCAACATAAGTATTTATTTTGTTTCCAACCATCTAATAAAAAAAAGTCCAATACTGTTGCTTCTTTTTACTTTGTTTTGGTCTCCACTAACTTGTAAACGCCACTTCAGCTTCCAAATGTTGCACTACGTTCACCAGCTAGTTGCTAAAGTTGTCTGTATGTTGCTGAGAAAGTGTCCAAGGCACTAATCAGAATGTTTTTGTTTTTTTTTTTACTGAAAATAGCTGCCTGCTGTTGTAAAATAAATGATAAAACCACAACAAGGAGCGAGGTTTATCCCTGCAAGGTACCCACAGTTATTTGAACGACTGCTAATACAAAATAAATGTCGATAAGCGCAGCTTTAATCCGTCATGTTGAACATGAATATAATTTTGTCAGTGTTACATCACAGTTGTACGATTATATATTTTAAGCACAGACTGATTTAAAAAGTTTGAGCTTCATTTAGACAAACATTAAAGCAGATTTGGTGTAAAATACAATAAAAGCAGGATGGCTTTGGTGTAAAATAAAACACACAAGGTTTGCAGTCAATGGGCTAAAGCATGCTCCATAATGGATTATCATTATAAGAGTGTTGCTGTCAGCAGGGGTGCATGGCTCTTCTATGCCCCTCAACCCCCAAGCATGCTCATGTTTAAATACCTGGAGACTAGGCGAGAGTCTTCTGCTCCTCCCTCTGCGTAGCTCAGCCCCCAGCGTGGCGCCGGATGTGTAAGATCGGCTGTAGCGAGATGACTCCGCCTTCTCCCCAGCACCTGTTAGATCTGTGTCATTTCCCTGTGAGACAGCAGGCAGGGCAGGTGAGGCAAGCAGGGAAACGGAGCAACAAAAAAACAACAACAACACATCTTCAGAGGACCAAAAAATACAATATTTGCACATAAAAACCTTGTGTTGTATATGTAGCAATGAAAAAAAAATCTGATTCAGTAATAAAAACAAAAGAACCCGCTTAATACAGTTGTCATTGTAGCACATGCACCAAACCCTGTTGTTTTGCCATATTCAGATTCTGACGAAACTTCTGCAGAAACACAGACTATAAATTATTAACATATGTGTGTGTGCATGCGTGTGACTGTGCATGTGTGAGGCTACGTGTGTGTGTGTCTGGGATAGGGCCTCTACAGACCGAGCTCTTAGAGGCTGATCTGCACTGCAGTACCGTAGCAACAAAACACTGGGGGAATGGTAGCAGTTGCTAGGCAACAGTGCCGTGTTGCTTCCATGCTGCGTTTGATGTCGTCCAGACCCAGATGTGGAAAGATGCTCACATTCACACACACACACACACACACACACGTACAGTACACACACACACACACATACACTTAGAGAAACGTATGGACCTCTGCTCTGCACAATCAATAAAAGAGCACCTGAATAATGCATGGTGTTGTGTCCTTCAGCCAAGACGTCACCTTTAAAAGAAAATAGCTCATTTACATAGAGCACTCATTTAGCGGGGGCTCATTTACATAGAGGACTGTGACTGAGAGGTTGTGTGAGTGTAGGCTGGACGATGCAAACTGTCCACTCGGACCTTGACGGCGAGAACAAAGAGTGCCGGGATGTGTGAAAGTCACGAGGTTTGTACGACATTGTGGACATTAAACACACACACGGACACGCACACTGCACCCTGACGGTCAGCCCTGCCTGGTATCTGCCCTCACAGCGGCAAACTTAGCTCGTTTTCCCTGATTGTTCATGCCCTCACCTCTTCTCCAGTCACCGACAGCACGCTGCGGCTCTTCTTCATTCTGATTGGCTCGTTCTGGGCCCCAGGGCGGAGCGTTCCGGAACCCAGGCAGCAGAGCAGGTGGAGAGCCAGGACCGGAGAGGTCAAAGGTCACTGCAAGGTCAAACCGGGGTCAGACCGGGTCACTACCGGCCCCCATCGGAGCTGACTCAGCCAGCCAACCGCCTCGCTCGCGCTCCGTCCACAGCTCAGTGTTCAGGTGGCTGAAATGAGGCGTCCAGCTGCCGCAAACCAGCACAGGAGCATTTACGTGCCCCTCAGAGGCTCCAGGTTCAGGTGGAGGCTGACAAACCGTTGTTCTGATGGTGTTGTCTTCTCAAAAGCCAAAAGTGGAAGAAAGAAAAATCAAAAAGCAAACTGTCCCTCCGTGTCGTCCTCCTTTGGCCAGACAAGCCAGTGGGAGCTCCTGGTCAGAGTTCATGATGTCGCTGCTGAAGAAAACCTTCGTCCAAGTTTCCTCAAATACTTATCCAACGTGGAGTATCAGTCGCATGACATTTACCAACCCGGATCCCATATGAACAACAATTAAAAATCCAAACGCATCATAGAGGAATCTGCATCAGGTCTCTCCTGTCTCAGGTCAGTTTTCCACAGTCTGATCGGTCATGTGGATCCAAATCCTGCTTTGGAAGACAAGCTGAGTACGACCTCATCTGAGAAGCCTAAATGTCAGAACTTCTGCTTTGATTTTCCAGGATCCATCCATAAATCTGCCTCCCTGTGAAAAAAAAAAAGAGCAGAAATTACGAGTTAGTGTGACCGGGACTTGAAAAATCAGCAGATGACTTTCTCTTTGAGTCATCTAACCTCCCTCGTTTTAGAACTCACTGTCCTGCTTTTATGTAATGAATTCATTTAATGCATCGCTAAGTGAGACAATCCTTTTCTCAATATAGTCAGCCTTCACCTCGCAGATAGATTTGAAATAGTTGTTTTCAACAATACAAAGCTCATGCAACAGAAACATTGCAATCAGTGGACCACATCTCCTGGAAGCGGCTGTTGGGCTGATAAATTAGTCATAAAGGGGGGGCAGCCCTGACTAAATATTTTGGCTGTGGTGGCCTGGTGGGACCTGTACCTTCAGCGTGGCTAATCCCGAGAAGATACTGCAACACCAAAAAAAAAAAAAGCTCTGTGATGTTATATAATTACTCCGAGCAGTCCGAGCTGACCCAATTTCATTGGATGGGACATATTCAGCATATCAAGAGTGCTTGTGATTGAGCTGCCACACAGACGGATAGGAGACGACTTTTGCCAGGGTCACCAAGAACACACCCTCTGAATGGAAGGAAGGACTTTCGCACCGGAGTGGGCACACATTCAGAGTGGAGAAAACAGGTCTGGTGCCGAGAAATCAACAAATGCATAGTGACACAGTGACATATATATGCACAGACAATGAGAAATTTGGACACACGCACACACACACACACCATGGCAGCAACCAACACCACCTCCACTACAGATAAAGCAGCTTATAAAACCAAGCAGCAATGCATCAATATGCGGCTCAACTACCAGCCTGCTGTTCTGTTACAAAACAGCCCAAATATATAAATATATATATATTTACACAAGAAACAAAGCACACACACATGCATACATGAGGACTGCCCTGCCATCATGTCTGTTTGCACACACACACCTCTTGCAGTGTGTGTGTGTGCAGACAGACACGCATGTACAACACAGTCAGTCAGTCAGTCAGTCAGGGCTGCAGGATGGAAGAATAAAAACACACTCACCTTGATCGCCCGAAGATCAATGGCAAGATGGGCTGGGCCTCATCTTGCTTTCACTTGCCTCCTTCCCCTCCTGTCTCCCCCGCTTCTCTCCGTCTCTCATAGCGGCGTATCAACCACGGAGCGAGAGAGGAGAGGAGAGGAGAGGAAGAAGGAAGACACACACACAAAAAAAAAAAAAAAAAATCCCCCACTTGGCGTTTTCATGAA